TTCAGGGCCCTCAAAGGGAATCTGGAGATAATCCCAAGCAGTAAACAAAGACTGACAAGAACCTTTGACGCCTTACGATTTAATTAACTCATTACTCGTCTCTGTTAATTAATGTCACATCAGAATTAAGCCTTCTCCAGATTGTTCAACCAAAATTAACAAGTTGTTATAAAATCAATCAGCATGGAGGCCTCTGCTGACATCAAAACCCACGAGGAACAACGCTGAGATGAAGGTAAACACCTCTGCAAGCTCAACTAGAAAATAGAAGTCTATAATTACTGTTTAATTTAATTTGATTCAGTTTAGTTTGTAAATACAGTAGATCTTAAGAGAGCTGCAGGGACGACCAGTTACCTGGTAGTTACCTGGTGCTCTTACCCAAAAATCACTGGGATTTTGGGGATTTTGGTTAATTGCATAAAATAAACTCTATGTCAAAGATTTCTGTTTCGTACAAGGTTGAGGTAAACATAAAAAAATGAAAACCTTTCAATTAATGTTTTTCTTAATGCTACTGTAAGGAGTTAAAAGCTTATGTCAAAGATGGACATATTAAATATCCTCAATGACTTTTGTAGCCTAAATTACCTCCCAGAAAAACTTGAAAATAGCCTAAAGATAACTCCCATACAGAAATTGGAGACCTTTATGTTTGAAACTGAATCAGCCTATTTATAATTTAGATGAATACATTGACACTTATTAGTATCTGGGTTTTTTAAAGACACCTTAATACATCTTATAGCTTTAATATACAATAGCAGGGTAGTTACTTTTATCATTCATGTAACTGAACACAACATGCCTTCTTAGGCTTGTGCAAACCACTGACACTATTTAAGCATCAAACCCAAGCACCCATAAAAAAAACAATAAAACGATTGACTATCACACAAGGGGACCAGAAGCACAAAAGTGTGATCTTCTCTCTGGCTTTAAAGACTCGATCCTGTAGCTATCTTCACTGAATTTCTGAGCTTTATGGTATGTTTTGTTTTGTGCAACATTTCCACTGAATATTGAATCATATTCTTCACCTCAAGTGTCTTCTTCATCATGGTAAATGTTTTTTGTCTCTCAGATGGCTGCGTTGTTCGAATCCACTCTCTGAATATTGATGTAACCTTCTCTCTCTCTTTCTATCTCTCTCTTTACCTTCAGGTTTTTTTTTTTATTCAATTATGAAAATCACAGCGGCTGCTGCCTGATCAAACAAGCACTCATTTCATAAAGATTAAAGCCATTACAATTAGCCTGAGAAAAGACAACATAAAACAAGAATAAAACACACACTTATGCATTCATAGGCCATTTAACCAGGGAGCAGGAACTATGAAATCAATTAGTTTAATGTATACCACTTGCAATGTGTTTGTGCGTGTGCGTGTGTGTGTGTGTGTGTGTGCGCGCGTGCATGCGTGTGCATATACAAGATACTGCTTTGAGGCAAACAGGGGAAAAAAACGATGATATTTTGTCACTGTCATTGTAGGTGGGAAGGGGCAGTCAGAGAGACAGATTGTTCAACAGCCAAATGCTACCAAAGCTCCCTTACTCTATTTTCATTTTCAACACGGATTCATTTGATCACATGTCTTATATGTGAAGGTGCAGACTGGTTGAGACACAAACACACGGCTCCCATTTGCTCAGTACAGCTTAGACAAATGTATTGACATTTCCAAGCAATGAAATATGAATCACTCTTCATTTCCACCAAAACATGAAAACAAACTCCACTGGGGTGCAACTCTACCAGGGCAATGAATCATTGTTTGTGTGCGTGTTTGTTTGTGTGTGTGTGCGTGTGTGTGTGTGTGTGTGTGTGTGTGTGTGTGTGTGTGTGTGTGTGTGTGTGTGTGTGTGCGAGAGAGTGAGAAAGAATAGAGCTCAGTGTGTTCATGCTGCTCCTCCACCTCAATAACTCTCCTGTTAAAAGCTGTTGCACAAACCTCCATGTATAACTTAAAAAGTAACACATCAGCCCAAATCCTCAATCTACTGTACAACGAACTGATGTGTAGAAAAGTATGTGAAGAAAGAATGGAATTGATCCCAATATCTTCTTCTGTTAGCTCATAAAAATAAACAAATTGTGTTCTATGATTGTCCAGTATCAGCCCTAAAACTAAAATGTGAAGCAAACTGATAGTATGTTACATGTCTGCTGACCGTTTCAAAGTTGCACTTGCCCTACATGTTCAAGAAAAACCCTCTAATTGTGTTGCCAGAGTTTGTCATCATGACGAGAGCTTTTTTATTTTTGCAGACAGATTAAAGGCTGCTAGAAGAACAAAATCTGGCACGCGACGGTGTTATCTCTCGGCCTCAGAATGCTTGAAATTAAAAATTAATAACTTGGCAAGAGTTCCATTTTCTTTTCTAACCATGACATATCAATTCCCAATTTAAAAATAAATGGTTTGATAAGAAGCTTGCAGTAACATTATTAAGGTTTATGCTCCCAATATAGAGGCTTAAGGCCCACTTATATTTGCTTCAACATCCCCTTGAGTTATAAACATCACAGTGCACGCTCTGGGGGGAAAAAAAAGACACACTGAGTGTCAGGAAATATTTTTTGCAACAGCTTTGCAACTCTGTCATCATTAGTCGAGTGCTGAATGTGTAAGATGTTTTTCTCACTCTTTGTGTGCACTTTGCACATCAGTCTTCTTGACTGCACACATTGTTAAAGAATCAAAAATGAGTCAAATCATCCGCCCGTCTCCTACTTTCCAACATATTCAGTTTTAGCAAACTTCCAACTACCATTGGAATGTTTTTCCAATAGCCTTTTTAATAAATAAATTTAAAAAACACACACAAAATTTTGCAGATTTTGATTTTTTTCTTGTTTCAAACTGAAGAATTGTGTATTCAAATTTTAAAGTTGGACACAACATGAGGAAAGCCAACAGATTATTTAAACTGGTCATCTCAAGATGTTGAAGACAAGACAGTTTTTCTAAGATTCTAAGTTTTTTCTTTTAGATATAAGGGTTTCTAACTGGTCTATAGAAACAAATACTGTGGTCCATGTTTTAGACAGACCGTACAGAGATTTGCTCCTCGGCAAGCCTGGGGTCCATGGAGTGATGGAGAAACCTGCCTTTTCATGCCTGTTGAAGCACAGCTTCTCTCTATGTGCCTTACCATATGCCATCCTTATGCCAATTCTTTTTTTTTAAATTCATTTTGGGGCTTATTTAGACAGGGCTGTGAACAGAGCAGGAAATCAGGAGAAATTGGGAATCAACAGGAAAGGAGCCACAAGTCGGTCTTTAACCCGGCCCACCCGCATGGAGGACTACATCCTCGGCACATGGGGCGCCACCTAACCACCTAACCGCTAGTCCACCAGCACCCCTCCTTATGCTAATGCCAACAGTTTTGGGATATTTGAAGTATCTCTCTTTAAGTGATGTTATTTATGATGTTGCAGATATGGAAGTGAAAGATACTAAACCCAACAGAAAACCCGTCTTTAGGATCAGAAGATAACTTGATGAATGAGAGCCATTGTCCTCTCTTGAAATTATATTTTACTGTATTCATTAAACTGAAGTGTACAATATGATTTTTTTGTAATACAAATGAGTCCAAACAGTTCAAAACACTGGGGCTAACTTTGCCCCACAATCAGCTCAGACAACAGTTTTGTAAAAGTGTAGTATCATACAAGTTGTGTTAATCAAATGTATTCATTTCATTTATCAAATAGTCTTTCTTTACGACGGAGGATTAGGGCCATGGTACATTTTTTTATTTTTTTTTATTTTGAGAATAAAGTCGTACATTTACAAGAATAAAGTCGTAAATTCACGAGATTAATCCCGTAAATTAACGAGTTCGAGACCAGCCTGCGCAAAATGATGAAAGTAGAACTCTTAAAGTATTTAAAGAATAAAAGAATAAAGTCGTTGTTTTAGTCTATATCAGAAGAGCAGCAGCATCCTGATCTCAAATGACAAACATGGAGCATCTTGTCCTAAAGGTTTCACGAATAAGGAAATAGGCTACTTCCTTGTGTAGTCGGTAAAAACAGTTCAAGAGAAGTTTTCACTTCAACTTGCAAGACCTTGTTCATCTGTAAAATGATGAACAGGACACAAACTGTCTCTGCACATGAGACACTTTAACAAGGCAGACCGATAACAGACATAAATAGTTGTGTTGGGGCTTTACTTATGCAGATATGAAACTACACATGCTTTTAACACATCATCATCTTCACATTGTCTTAAAATATCAGCACCCTGAAAAGATACTGCAAGAAACTGAAGAAAGAACCACACTGACTTGGAGGAGGTTGTGTCTGCAGAGGAAAATACTTTAAGAGTTCTACTTTCATTATTTTGCGCAGGCTGGTCTCCAACACGGTAATTCACGAGATTATTCTCGTAAATTTAGGACTTTATTCTCGTAAATTTACGACTTTAATCTCGAAATTTAAAAAACAATTTTTAACGTGGCCCTAATCCTCCGTCGTATTTCTTAATGTTTTCCAAAGTGACATTTTCTACAGGCAAGAGCTAGTGAATCTCTCTGAACGAGACATTTAAATGACTTCACCTGAATTACACCAGACTGCTGATGATGATTGTGATGGATGATAGACATATTAAGACAGATTACAGGATACCCCTTCCTCAGCCCTGTGAGGACACAATCTGAGGAGATGAGACGTAATTGTGTTTAGTCTGCTACACGCTTCACCCTTTTCTTTAATGACAATAATTATCTGTAGAAAACATCTGTGGGTTGTTTTTTTATCCATCCCCCTCACATCCCCCATCTTTTGTCTGATCTTATCCTCTCGTCTCATATCGTATTATTCCTCCTACTCATCCTTATCCCCATCTTCCTTACTACTTGAGTACTTAGGTCCAGAGCATCTTAATGCTCCTGTAAGTGCAGTATGGTGCTCCTCAATTAAATTGTGAGTGAGCAGGGGTAATTACGCAGTGTAAAAATGAGCAAAAACTTCTCCTTACCCCAGTGATTTCTCCAGTCGACTGGCTGGTGATCCAACAATCTCCCCGAGAGTGCAGAACGTCTGACCCAAGAAGTCCTTGAGGGAATGAAGGAATAGAAAATGGACGAAAATGGGACAGATTTGTGAATGTGAAGTGGAAAGACAAGAAATCAGAGAAATGTCAGACTTACAAAATAAACTCAGGTTTATGACGATAATTAAAAAAAAACACTGGATTACATGTGGACAAGAAACTGCTCATTGATTCAAAATTGCAGATTGAATTTAAATATTGGACAGCTGCATCTGGTATTAGCCAAAATAATTGTTGCCTTTTGGTCGAACGCTTTGGTTAAAAAAAATCAATTCAGATTAGTCTTGGATCTTGTCTCATAAGATTTCTTTATCTTATATATGCTTCTGTTAAATGTGAGACCGAATGAATTCGCCATCCCTGTGCTCTGTGTAATTATGGTGACATTAAATCCAGGTTGGTGTAAATGGCCAAGCAAAAAAAGCAAACTAAAATCTAATGCTGCCATAAGGTTGTATGTATGTAGACATCATTTTATGTCGGGGTCTATGTAAATGTCACTTAAAGGGGCAATTTGCCTAAAGTGCTTATTTATTTACAAGTCATTTTATGCTGTTGCTTTTCATGACCTTGGGTATTCAAGGAAGGACAAAATCAGGTGATCTGCATCATGGGCCTTCTTCATCAAAACCATCATCAACACGGTAAGAATAATGATGAAATGGTTAACATTTAAAAAGTAGCAGTTGTGTGTAATTTTTTTGGACAAAAACTAGTGGGTTGAAATTGGGAAAACTGCTAGGTAAACTATTGAGATACACTAATTAAGGAAATCAAATGCAGATGCTGATTTTGATGGTAAAAAATAACATTTCAGCTGATGACGTTTTACAATTCCAATCTTTTTCCTTAAATAAATGTTGTCGCTAATTTGACTCTTGTTGTTTAATTCACCCATCTGGGCCATGAACCAGACCACTGCAACTTGCTCTCTGCCATTATTTGATAGGACAGCTGAAGATAGACAGGAAATGTGGGGGGAGAGAGAGTGTCTGCACTAAATTCAATCGTATAAATGTACAAGACAATCTTTAATTTAACCTTCCATCCCATAAAAATAACAATTATCAGCTAATAAATGGGTGCATCCTTAGTAAGTGAGTTTGTCAAAATAAGTCTAATAAGTCTGTTTGGTCTCATCACTTGAACAGTCAACAGCCCTTTGTTTGTCTAATGTATCCACCCACCCAGACCTGTTCCCTAGATGGACTTTTTACCCTTTATCACTTCCACTCACATCTGTTTCTATATGTCATTTGCACATAGTCCTCTTTGCAGTAGCAGCAGCTGTAACATGTTTTAACAAGACATTGGTGTGTACTATATACACTGACACCAGGCTGGTTATGACAGTAATTATGGTTTAATGCTTGTAGTGATTCCCAACTGGTCTTGTTTCAGCGAATTCCCCAAAGAAATGAGGTCAGGGTAAACACATAAACAGAAAGCCCACTTAACAACCCAGTCATATCCCAAAGATCATTGCTCTTGGAGAAAAAGCCAAGTTGATAGTCAAATTAGTTTGACAAACTAAAATCACTTAAATAACATCAAGTTTTAATTAAAGAAGGGATATTTCAGTGAGAGTGGTTCATACATTGTAAATAGCAACTAAAGCTAATTCAGGTTATTGAAATGGTATTCATAGCATCCCTTGTGATATTATGACATGTATACAAATGATAGCATCCAAAAATAGATTTGTAATAGTAAATTCAAAGTTGTTGTGCCTCTTCCATATAGCAAGCTGTTTTAGAGGTACAGGTAAGAGCTTAGTTTAAAGTCTTTGACAACAATCAACCAGAATTATTGTAACTCAATGAGACTAACCCCAATCGTAGACTTCGACCCACCCGTTGGGAACCACCGGTTTTTATGTATTGTGGATGATAAGAGACAAATAAAACAGGATGTAGGGATAAAAGCACAATGAAAAAGAGACAATTATCATGATTCTGAATAATGTGGAGCCTCATTAGAGAAAGAGTGACATCGTTTCAGTCTCAGTCTCTCAGTTTAATATTGATCTGGTAGCCAAGACAAAAACTTACTATTTCTATTGATGTGACTCCTTAACTTTGGCAATGGCAGACAAGTTACATTAAATAATTCAACACCAAGCTATCGAATGTATTTATATGTATAGCACATTTCAAACTGAAAGTCCTGCAGATCGTTTCGGTGAGAAGATTGGGAAATGTCACCATCTTCACCATGTTATCAAATGTGCAAAATAAAACTGCTGAAGACATTGTGACTGAATATTTATTTACACATTGTGGTTGTTGTGGAGCTCTCTAAGACTGTGAGGATGGCAAAAAGTTTTTTTTTTGTTCTGATTAGTGATAGCATCCTTCCTCCTGGGAAAAGGATCATTAATGTGCGACAGCAGCCATGCAGTGTCAGAGTTAAAGGGATGCTGGGACCTACGTTGAGTTCTGCGGGCTTCCACAAAGGTTGGGCAGCAGGAGCAACAACAGCAACAACAACAACAAATACAACAGAGCACATCATATACAAGGGACACTGTACTAAATACCTGGCACTCCTAGCACTGCTAAAGATGAATAAAATAAAATAAAAAGTGCTGAGAAAGGACTAAAACCCCAAACAGACAGATGGAAACCACAGCTAGAGATGAAAAAATGCAAACCCCTGTCATCCAAATACGTCAAATAATCATCTAAGCTGATTATTATGAAATCTTGTGAATGCTTTTTGTCACCATAGTTTCCAGCTTCATTGATAAAAACGTGTTTTAATTATTATAATTTGTATGCTTAATGGAAACTAATGGATAAAAGCATCCCATGAAGCTTCTCTACATGACTATAACAAATATTTGCACAATGCCTACCACTGAAGTAACGATGTCAGACTACATAATAATCAATAACATGTATTAAAAAATGTCATATTTATAGAACAACTCCAGTGTAAATAACCACTGCTTTAGAGTAAAAACAAAGACGGTGAATAACGTTTGTATTTGGAGACTTTTGAACAGGCAACAAGAAGGGTTTGCTTTATTTCATCATGAGAATCCATGCAACAGGCAGATCAACTTGAAAAACTAATGTTACCTATGACAGGACCACAGATTGAAAAGAATTGGCCAATCTCGAATCCCTTGGAATGTCTTCTTCCATCATGTTATATTTAATCAGTCTACAGATTTTTTTTTTTTTTTTTTTTTTTTTTCAATTAAGCCAAATATTCAGATCATATTCCAGATTGGCCTCCATTCGTCTGTGGTCCAGGATTAGCAGAAAACATGCACTCACGTGTTTGGACAGGTCGGGGCTTTTGGAGTCCACATCATATCTGGAAGGAAACAAAATGAAAGCAGCTGTTGAGTAGAGTCTAAGATAAGTCAGGACATGATGATTTCATACAGTCTATGAAATAGGATCTATAATAATAAAAGAAATGGGAGCAAAGACATGAATTTAAAAAACAAAGCCCACATCTCAATTTTTTATCAACATATATTTTTGCATGGACATTTAAAGACATAGGGCGTCTTTGACACTCGCTGAAGGGCACTAGATAATTTAGTATTCGACTTGATTGAAGATCACAGTAAGTAAAGCGATGGGAGGACATCATGAGAGATCAAAAGAGATAAAGTGATCAAAAAATAGAGGCAGGATATTTGAATCTTTTCAGATGATACTGTATGGAAGGGAAGATTAATGGAGGAAGGGTTCAACCTTTTCTCTTCTTTCATAATAATGAGTGGAGGGCCTGCTCTGATTTGCATGTGAATATAAAGCTAATCAAAGTGAGGTAAATGGACCATATGTGATGTAACAAGATTAAACATCTGATCAAACGATAGATCTAGTTCACCTGGAAACAAATCAAACACAAATAGAGTAATTATTTAGCATGATGAGAAGAAGAACCTAAGGAAACATTTCTTCTGGGCTTCAACTATGCATACAGCATTCATGGCTTTCTTTTTCTTTTTTTTCAAATGATTTCAAGCTGCAAAATATATTTGTATGCACCTTAATGCAGAAAAGCTGAGGATATAATAACAGTTTTAAAGGAACTCATGAAAATGGTTGGTGAGTTTTTTTAATTTCTATGAAAAAGCTCAATGAACCACAGTAAGTGCTCTGCAAAGCCCCGTCCTCATTAGTTACTGTCAACCTTGTCAAGCTTTCCTGCACTGTGTGGTGCATTTTGCAGGTTACAATAACAGCATCAGCAGATTCACCACTCAATAATATTAAGAATTTTTGAGGCTTTGAAGACAAATATATATTTTATATATAGTTTTCCACTGATAGGTTCAAGAAAAGTGTGCTTTTGATGGCTGTGTTTATGTGATTGTGATAAAAGGACACAACATGTCCCAGGCAAGCAGTTAGCATACCAGCTGACAATCAAAGTCAATGACATGAAAGTAAAGGAGCAGCGTCATTGGTCTAATGCTGAATGGTGCTTGTTAGACCCATTGGAACAGTATTATAAACAATTACATTTTGGATTAAGAAAACATCCACAATAGATAATGCAGCTAGCCAGTGACATGCTGTTTCCCTTTGGGAATGGTAGCTTACCACTTTCAGTATAAAGCGAGTTAGCCAGGAGAGCTAATTCTCGTAGCAAACAGTAGAGCAAATATACACTCCTAATCCGTTCTCCAATCTTTTGGACTTACATGTTTTATTATGTTAGGAATAAAAATGATACCCACCCTACCAAGCAGAAATATATTGTTCATAATAGAGCCCATACATGTTGTTTTTATTTTTATTTGAATAAATTAAAAGCTTGATAATTATTCTTTACGTTGGATCGTCGCTAAACTATGATTGGGCAGTCACTCTTTGGGAGCAGAGTTTAATGAAAGGTCAACTAAAGAATACATCACATTGAAGGAGAATAAAGAACAAGAGAAAAGATGCAAACATGAAAAAGGAAAACACTTACAAGTCAAAGCGTAGGCTTTGTTTCTCCTCAAAAAAGTAGTCCAAGATGTACTTTCGTACAAAGTCAGGGTTAAGGGTGTTGTCTATCACCTCTGTTCTTCCAAACTGCAGAAGTAAAAAGACAAATGAAGTTCGGAGAAACAAATGTTTAAGGAGAAGCAGGACATCAAAACACTGTTTCAATAAACAAGTGCAGTTCATACTGTTGTCTCCTTGCACTTATTTTCTTCTTGTTCTCAAACATTTACTTGTTACATATTCACACACATACAGTCCTGATTAATGGATGCACTTTCACAAGCTGCTGCTGTGCAGAGTAAGTGTGTTTCCTGTTTCCTTGATCCTCACTCCCCTCCCACATTAATTACAGAAGGATAACTCACTCCTCGGCCCCACAGAGAGAAAGAGATAAAGGACAAGGTGTGGAAATGTGTGATAAGAGACGGAGAGAAACAACACAGAGAGAAAAACAGAGGAAGGAAAATTGTTGAAGAGGGTTTGAAGAGCAGGGTTGAGAAAAGGGGGAAACTGGTGTGGTGGATTCGGACAGATATGAAGGAGGAGAGTGGGAGTGGGAAATGAGTGTGCAGGGAGAGGAGGAGAATTGTAGATATTAAGACACTCTAATTAGTGGGATTTTCAATCCCAAAGTGCCCATGCGGGGAAATTTGCCAGAGAAAAAGCTGGCGGAGCCCCAGTAATGCCACATGCGAAATACAACAAAAAAGCTGATTATGAGTTTAGAGAAACAGTAGGCTACATACATTAATCATTCAAAGCCCTGTGGAATCTCCAACGTGATCAAATACTCCATCACACATAAGCCATTTTAACATATGCACTCTGGATAATATCTAGATATTTACAGGAGGACTTCTCCGGAGATTCTCCCAAACTAGCTGTTAACATATGCTCCTCACAGCAGGGGACTATCCCTGTCAGAGGGGAGGGGGGGAGACTATCCCTGTCAGAGGGGAGGGGGCGGGGGGATTTCCTGAGGTAAGACGTGACGTAAATAAACAACACGGAAGTAGCGGCCGAAGCAACAGAGTCCGCTACACGACGTTATAATGAGAATATTTACCTCTAATCAATGCTATGTGTAATCCAATGGAATGACAACATCCACAAAAGAGAGGAGAACAACATACTGATGAACAAAAAACAGAATGCAGCAGGTTCATTAAAGCACGGAGATCGTCGTGGTCGCGTGCAAACACTTTAGGCACTGTGCTGCAGTCACAGTATAGAAACGTCACTGGGGTCCCATTGGCTCGAGGTGAATCCTCCAGAGTATATGTTGCGGCATTCTCACATCAGCTCACTTGGACTTTCTGCGGATAAAATACTAGGGGTCCAGCAGGATAAACTCCGGGTAAAGTTTGCGCAAAAAATGCGGCTGTTTCCATATGTGTGAAAAGGGTTATAGTGTGGAAGCACAGATAAAATATAGTCGGATGGTAGAATGTGATCAAGATTGACCTTTAGCATTCCATACTTCATTGTTTTCAGTGTTTCTCATGTGTTCGATTATAAACTACCCCATAAATTATATTAAAGAACGAGAACATGAGACATGAGTTTTGTCAAACCCAAAAATCTTTGAACTGTGGCTTTTTCCAAACAAACAAAACCTATACAACTCTTAGCACAGTGTGCTCTGTTGGATTGATGTATTAAAAAGCATTCAGTCAGATGTAAGGTTGGGCAGAAAGTGTCCACATACTGTTGACATCATGGTCTGATCACTACTGATCTGCCGCCAAAACGCCACAACCAGGGACCAACACAGTTTAGTCTCTCGTGCCTCATGAGGCTGTTCATTGTTCTCTTTATAGTTGGATAAGTTAACAGTAACACTTTATAATAACCATCATCAATAAAGTGTAAATTGATAGTTAATTAACCAGTTAATAGTTATTTTACTTAATAAACAATGAAATGATAGTAAATTATATTTGCTAATTATTTGTAATGCTATAATTTTTTTAACAGTTTATTGTTGCACCAAAGCAGGTATACAGATGTATAATACTGCAGTGCGTAGTAGCCTACCTATTTTGTTTTTGTAACTGTGTTTGTGTGTGTTTGTGTGTGCGCTTGTGTTGAGCATTGCGATTAGCGTAGTGAGTGGTTGCAAGTATTGTTGCTATAAATTGTTGCAAACACCCACATTGCTATTAAGCCGCCTTTGGTGGCTGTGCTGACAAAACAATAGTAATGTGACATTAAGATTCAGTTGGCTGCCCCCCCTTACTCAAGACTTCTTCCTGTGCGTCTGATGTACAACAAGATGAAGATTTATACCAAAAGAAAACCAGATATACTTTAATCAAAGTCAAAGGCTTTATATGTGATTTTTCACACTTAAATATAATAGAAATCAAGTATATCCTCTGAAAATAACTCTGTGAGTCATGACTGTCTACAATGGGTGTAACACCTGAGTCCCACTGTCTGTGATGTTTTCAGAGTTTTCAGAGTCCTATCTTCACTTTGTTTACATCGCCGGGACGGCGGCTGACTCCTCCCGTCACGTATAAAAGTTGTTTAATTGAGGGACTAGAGAAAAGAAGAATAACATACTGTACTCACTGCTTAACTGTGTTTCTAGATCACGCTCATTTCAGGTACATTTACATGCAGTGTGAAGATACGAGCATAATAAAGATCGCTAGCATTAGCATGCTAACACAACAATGCACCGCAAGGTGTTTTGGTTTGATGCTGGTGCTCAAGGGCGACATCCGCTGGATCAAAAAATAAATATAAAGCCTTTAAACAAATCGATATAATGTGGAAATATGGAAGTCCTCTGTTTCATGTATCGAATGTTTGTGATCTTTTAATCTGCAGTTTTTGTCTTCCTCAGTGTGTAGAAGTTACAGTCGACGTTACAGTCACATTGTTTTTACTGATTCACTGACTTTTCCATCTTTCTTGGAAGTCAGCCTCCATCCTCTCATACTGACATACACACACACACACACACACACACACCTGAACATTTCAATCCCTCTGACGTTGGGTCGGAGACATTTCCCCTCACAGATACCTGCTTACTGACGAATCAGTTTCATTTTTAAAACTAAACCTTCATTGATTTGGTTACAACTGGAGTGGTGTTTCAATTTAGGCAGTAATCAGAGTCAGAGTCTTCCAGTATGCACTTCCAGTACTTGCCTGCAGTAAAGATTTAAAATCTGATATTTTAGATATTTATCTTTGAGCCAGACATCCCCTGTTAATTGGAAAGCTGCAAAACTCCCCATTTTAATTATTGGCCAGCCATTACTGTAAGTAGGAGTTGATGTTTCTCTATAACGTGAACAGCAGGTAATGTACTGTAGGTGGATGTGTGAGATCACCTCGTCCTTCAGTCGGTGTTGTAAAAACAACAAATTCAATTCAGTGTGGGCAATAAGGACAACACAACTCCTGTAGAACTTCACACTTGTTAGCTTTTACACAGTGTTGAACACCTTTTATAACCTGTGTTTTGAGGTTTTATGTTTCTCTATGTGAACTCAGCGACTGGAGATCTAAATTTAACACCAGTGAGGGAGAAGAGTGGAGGCCCAGACTTTCTAAGAGACCCTGAGGTGTTGATGAGGATGTGAGCACATGTTGGCAAAGAGGCAGGTGATGGAGAAGATTAGCTGATTTTTTTTCCACTGAGTGGAAGAAACAATCCCATGCTGGAGAGTTTATTAGATGCTGCTGGGGATAGCTAATGAGAATCTGGTCTGCTATGTCTTGTTCCTGCTTTGGTGTTTTTGAACCACATGGTAACGGCAATCATGCTTTTGAATGGAATACTTAAAATACAACTGTCCGTCTGTAAATAGAATTCAACAAGAATCTGCATTCGTTCACTACTAATACAGCCAAATAGTCATTTTTATAGACTAAAATTGGATAACCTATAACAGTACAGTTACTTGTATTTGCATGTCCATAGGCTGGCCTGCCAGCTTTGCCATTAGATAGTCTTAGCCTGCAATTCATTTGGGGCGCTTTAGTATAACCAGTGTGCTCCTAACTTACTTAAAAAATGTGGCCAATCGAGCATACATGCGAGCAGTTTCAGACCTAGCCTGAATCTTGCTAGCATACCGTTAGCTGGTTGTAGCTAAGACCTGTTCTATTTACCAGAGCGAAGCAGGGAGGGGAATTTCTTTTTTCAGGAATTCGTCAAACCCTCCAACGCTTTACAGAGAAACATACTGTAGTTACAGCCTGTAAAAAATATTTTTTTTTGATTTTTAAAAAAAGGGTTATGTTAATTTTTTTCAGCAAGTGACCTTGATAAAAGCAGGAAATTGCCCTCCAAGGTGTCCATAATCATATGAACCTGATAGGCTAATGGACACCTTGTCAGATAAAATCCCTTACTTGAAAATGTCCTTAAAAGTCAGACACAGAACAAAATACTCAGACACATACACACTGTAAGTGAGACCAGGGTGTAAAAAAAAACCCTGCAGAGGAGAGCTATAACAGGACGTAAGTCTAATCCTTCATTATCTTTGTGCCTCTTTTGTTTCAAACCTGAGCAAAATGTCATTTTCTTCTCCCCTGGAGCACACAATAACCACTGCCAATGGATTTGTGCCTTATAAATGTCCTGTAGCTCTGTGAACAACATGGATTTCTCTTCTCCTTGTACTGCTCTCTAAAGATCATCCACACAGAAACTCAGTGTGGATGATGTTTTGGGAAGTAGTGTCACAGAGGAATATTGTGAATTAGTAGTGACTTTTCCTTTTCGTTTTGTCCTGAGTGAAAATGCGCAGGGGGTGGGTTATTATTATTATTACATGCCAGACGTGTAACCTAGCTTCATGGGAAAATGAATCCCAGAGTTTGTTATACATGCGAGCCAGAGCTGTGCCATGTGTTCTGATGCAACACGTTAATAAAAACATGATTCACAGAGATACACACACACAGCATTACACACATTACCATAATAACAGTGTGATGTCACAGGTAAATTAGATGGTGAGAAAAAGATGAAAAAGGTCAGCCTTGTCATATCTTCTTAGAACTGCTGTAAATTAACACCATCCACCTACTTCGTTGTCCTGTTTCTAAAGCAGCGC